GTAGTTACAGGATAGGCTGAGCTTGCCCAGCCAGGGTCTGACTAGGCCTTTATCCCCCATAGCTTTGGGCAGAGACTGCGGGAATTATGAGACTAGAAGTAAACCTTCCCAGTATCCATCCACCACCTCTCTCTCATTGCTTTCGTGGGAAGATGAGGATTTTGGAAAGCAGATCTGTCTGTCACGAAGGGATTCGTCATTTCTCAATACTTTCAGAAAAGGATTGGTAGTGGTAGCGGTGTTCTTGAAATGGCATGGTGGTGTTTAATAACATGTGCCAACCTCTTGCAGGTCTATCAATATGTAGTGTGTGGGCCTAGGACCCAGTTTGAGCATAGGATAGAAGCATGGCCTTTTCCCCCTACAGTGTGCAAAAAGCTCAAACAACGTAACAAGATTATTGAAAAACCTACTATGCCATGGGTGGTGGTGCATGCTTATAATCTCAGCATTCAGGAGGCAGAGGCAGGCGAATCTCTGTGAGTTCGAGGTCAGCCTGGTCTTCAGAGCAAGTTCCAGGACAGTTCTCCTTTGCTCACAAACTTCAGCTACCCTTACCTCCAACTACCCAGCGAGCTCTGCTGTGATAGGATGGCAAGGAGCCCGCTTTCCTGAGTGCTGCTCTTGGAAAGGGGGAGGGTCAGTTCTCTCGTCTGTTGCAGGTGGTGAGGGGTAAGGGGGGGGGCATCTTTCCCCCACCTACACTGCTGTGTGACAGACTAGTGGCGACAACTCGGAAAATAGTTTTCATAAAAAGCTATTTATAGTAACACAGTTTCAAATGGCTTAAAAGAATCAATGTAAACTTTTCAGATTTTCACATTTATTTATTTATTTATTTATGCATTTATCAAATATGGGTTATCACATAACTCAGGTTCCCACCCCTGAAATCTGATATATAGCTGAGGATAGCCTTGAGCTTCTGAGTTTTCTGTTCCCATTTGCCTAGAGCTGGGAATGTAGGTACATGGTTGCTGTATGTGGTCCATGCAGTGCTGAGGGTGGAACCGGTGTGTTATGCTAGGCCTGCAAGCTATCAGCTGGGCTAACCTCAAGGCCCTTCAGGGTTATTTCTCACAGCTGCAGCATTGGTGGATCTGTAAAGAAGTAAAACTTTTGGAAGACCTAGATTATTTTTTTTACTTTTTTTTACAAATATAAAGGGCACCCTTCTGTGTTGAAAGTTTTTGAACTGTTAATCCAGAATATGCAAGCAACCGCTACAAACCAAATGGGAAGATGTGATCCCAGCAGCCAAAAAAAAGAAGAAGAAAAAGAAAAAAGGGAAAACAGGTAATTAATTAATTGGTAGGAAAAGCAATCAGGTATGGGAGGGATTGCATGAACTCAACATTAGCCAGAGAACCCAAAAAAACCATGTTGACCCCAGGGCCTTGAGCACATCAGGCAAATATCCTATTACTGATCTCCACCCCAGCCCTGATATTTTTTTTGTTTCCTATGCTGGCAGAATGTAAGAAGTCAAATAGTGGCAGGTGTGGGTGGAACTGGGTGGCTAGAGAAACAGTCGAGGATTGGGAGGCATGGGGTAAGTACTGCAGTGTCGTCTTCTCGATGAAAACAGGCAGTCTTTACGCAGAGCAACCCCACCTTTCCGTAGATAAAAGGCATTGCCACACCCAAGTCATTTGTGAATTGTTGATCTGTGCTCCTGGAGAGGTGGGTAGCTGGAAGCCCTCTCCAGCTGTGCACGTGCGAAGGATGAATCCCAAAGACTGTGTGACTGAAAGTGTGGGCGGAGCAGCAGTGATTCATGATGCAGTATATGTACACAACACACACATATGGTCATAGATTTAGAATACTGCCAAACTCGTGTTTTGCAAGAGCACAAGCAACTGTAATGAGCTTTGGTGTTCCTCTTTTCCTAGAAAATTTCACAAATGGAATTGGCTTAAAGCAGGAATTTCTTCTCTTATAGCTCTGGCGTCAGAAACTCAGGTAGAGGTAAGGGTATGGCTGGTTCCTTTAGGGGCTTTGGATATGAACTGGCTTTGAAGTCTCTCTCCTAGCTCGACATGGTGCTGGCCCTTGGTTTTTCCTAGTTGTAGAACTTTCCATTCCGACCTCTGCATCCATAGCCCCCCTCCATACATAAATTATTCTCTTCCTATCAGGCTAACAACGGTCAATGGATTTAGGGCTTACACTTACCCAGGTTTTTCCAATCCTAGCTTGATTACATTTTTAAAGGCTCTGGTTCCTTAATGCGTAGGCTCTGGGTGGATAGAAGCTTTGGGGTGTTCACTATTCACACAAATCTACATGTCAAACACATGTGAGAATTGTTGGCTATGTAGGGGGAAGGAAAGGGCTCATAGGCTTAGGCAAACAAATAAGAGATGGATCTTGCTGGCACCAATGACTGCAAACACAGAAACAGCCTCAGATCTAGATATAGAAGAGAAACTGTTATTCTTTTTTAAAGATATAAGGGGGGGGGGAGACTGGTCCCATAAAGGATGGTGGAACCACGAGGAGCAGCCAGTTGCATGAGGGGCCACGGTGGGCCATCTGGGGCCTCAGCAGGTCCCCAAGTCCTTAGTAAGTCCCCTGGGTGGGTGGGAGACTGTGGCAAGTGAGAGACAGATACATCATGCAGAGAGAGTTTGGGTGTAGAGTTTATTTAGTGGGTTATGGAGGGGAAAGGGAAGGAGGGAAGGGGAGAAGGGAGAAGAGAGAGAGGCCGAGAGAGAGAGATGGGGGAGAGAGAACAGAAGTTACGTTTTTAGGAGAGAGACAAAAAGAAAGAGAGAGAGAGCACGCAGGCTGGAGGAGGCAGGAGATCCGCTTGCCTCAGCAGAAGGGAAGGCTTGGTAGTGGGCTTGCTTGCCTTTTAAAGGGACAGTGTACTCAGGTGACAGATCATAACATTCCCATCTCTTATAATAAAAAGACAGGAAGTTAGGTACAATAGGTTAAAGGAGTTGGGACTGTGGATTCTCAAGACTGCTTCCTGCTTATTTGTGGGTGTCATCTTGTGTGTGTGTGTGTGTGTGTGTGTGTGTGTGTGTGTGTGTGTGTGAGAGAGAGAGAGAGAGAGAGAGAGAGAGAGAGAGAGAGAGAGAGAGAACCTGAGAAAGCTGGGTGCTGGTCAGGTCACATCCTGGGGTAGCTGGTCACTTTACTCCTGTCCAGGGTTTGTGATATGTAACTGTCCAGTGTCTCCTGGGCCTAGCAAGGTGTTGGCAAAGCAGAGGGCAAAGTTAAGTTTAGGAAGAGAAAAAAAAATTTCAGGACCAGGGAATTGAAGAGGGTGTATCTGACCTGTTTAAGGTGGATACTTCAATTCAGCTCCCTGGAACTCACAAGAATTCTTTGAGTTTGTGAAAACATAAGTTTTAGACATATACATAGTATAAACAGTAGCATATTTATGTCAGAGTGATTGTGACAGATGCTTTTACACAATTAAAAGTATTTTTAAGACTATGGAAGGTAGCATGAGAGAGATTTGATAGCATATATTTGTCTTCACACCTTTATAACTTGCAGATACACACCTTAATAATTTGTATTTGTATTTTACTGAAATTTGTTTGGTGAGGTTGTCCTTTTAAACTGACAAAACCTCTCAGCTGTCAAACTGCATCAGAGATCTTTGAGAAGGATAAAAGTTTACTTGAGTTATTGATTTAAAAAAACGACAGAGAACTTGGTTGGTTGGTTACCTAGAGCCCTTCCTCAGGGTTCTTCATGGTCATTAAGGGTCATATTTGCCTTTAGCTCTTTTAGCACAGGGCCTGCCAGGGTTTAGAAGATCTTGTGGGTTAGAAATCTGTAGGAAGACAAGCCTACCTTGACCTAAGCAGCAAGGTAGGTTGTAGATTCCAGTGATTCTGTCTATGTCTAAAGATCTTCAGTTTAGATGAAAGGCAGTTTTTCCCAGTGGTCAGTGCTTGTCAGTTGATGAAGGGAATTGCAGATGGATGTTGTTCTGTGTCTGTCTTCTGTCTTCTGTCTTCTTTGGAGGAAATAGAGTGCTGTTAGGAGCCAACCTGTCTCTGTTATGAAAAGTCTTTGATAATTAAACATTTAAATGCCAGATTTCGGAGCAGCTGAGGGCTGTCTATTGGGTACAGATAAGTTATAACTACAGTATAGGATCTGCCTGGAGAGCTGGGTCCAAGCTTGATTGTAATGGCTCTCAACTTAATAGGTGAGATTTATACTTGTGAAAGACAAAGAAGGAAAAAAACTGTTTGCAATAGAAGTTTAACAGTAGAACTGATAATAGTAGAGAACAGCTTAATAAATTTTAAAGCAGGGGTGGATCATATATACAGTATTTTTTGTAATTCAATTTCAAGTATGAGACTTATGGCTCTCTTAGCATGGAATGAGATATAATGAACTTTAGCAGTAAGTATACATACATTTACACACAGTTGAATTTAAGTTCCATATATAGTTAAATGAAAAGTGAGTGAGAGGAAGCTGCCTAGGGGTGGGACCTCATGTGGAAAACCTACTGCTGGTGCTCTTTGGCTAGGGGCGGAACCTCTGGCTCCTCCCTTTGTTAAGCTAAAAGAAAATGATGGCAGCCATGGTTGTCCACGTGGTGTGACTATTTAAATTTAGCCGTCCACTAGTAGAAATTAAAAATGTGGTTGGTTTTCCATAGCTGAAAACGTGAGAATGGCGAAAATGATGCAAAGCCCAGGGCAACTAGCTGGATGTCTCCAGGCTAGCACAGGGGTTGATAACAAAGCCAAGCTGCTTCCAGTCCTGTGAGGGATAGTCACGGTGACCCAAGGCCTTGGCAGGTCCTTTGGTGAGTGGGAGATTGCAGCAGGTGAGAGACAGATACATCATGCAGAGAGAGTTTGGGTTTAGAGTTTACTTAGTGAGTTATGGAGGGGAAAGGAAGGGAGGGAAGGGGAGCAGGGGGCAGAAGGGAGATCAGCAGGAGAGGGGGGGAGAGAGAACAGAAGTTACTTCTTTAGGAGGAAAGAAAGAGAGTGCAGGCTGGAGAAGGCAGAAGATCCACTTGCCTAGGCAGAAGGGGGAGGGTTGGTAGTGGATGGGGCTTGTCTCTTAAAGGGACAATGTATCCATCCAGATGACAGACCAGGCCAGCTGATCATAACAGCAGCAGTTACTAAACCAAAGCCAAAAGATGCACAGTTTCTCTAGAGAACTCTTTTGTGTGCAGGTGCACATGTGTCTGTCCACGTGGGTGTCAATCCTCAAGTGCTATCTACTTAAAACATTATGTGTAAGGCTGTTTTTGCCTGTATGGACGTGATGTCTAGTGTCTGCAGAGGCTAGAAGAAGGTGTCAGAGTCCCTGAAACTAGAGGGGTCTGAGTTGTAAGCTGCCGTGTGGGTGCTGGGAGCGAAACCTAGGTCCTCTACAAGAGCAGCAAATGCGTCACTGCTCTTTCAGAGAGGGTTTCTCATTGGCCTGAAACTCACTATGCAGAAAAGGACAGACAAGGGTAACCCCAGCGATCTCCCTGTTTCTATCTGCCCAGGATAAGGGTTACAGAGGAGCACCACCTCCATCCTAGCTGGCGTTCTAGTGTAGGGTTTGGGGACTGAACTTGGGTCCTCATGCGTGCAAGGCAAGATCCTTACTGACCAAGCCATTTCCCCAGACCCTCCTGAGGATTCTTTTTTTTGTTTTTGTTTTTCCAAGACAGGATTTTTTTTCAGTAGCTATTGAGCCAGTCCTGGAACTCATGCTGTAGACCACACTGGTTTCAAACTCACAGAGATCCACCTGCCTCTGCCTCCTGAGTGCTGGGGTTAAAGGTGTGCGCCACCACCACTTGGCTCCTCCTGATGATTCTTAAACAACAGTTGGTCTTCAAATCCATTTGGAGCTAGAATTTATAGGAAACATTCCAAAAGAGTCAAAACTCAAAACTCAAACTCAAGCTTAAAATAATGCCTGCTGTCATTTTTCTCCATTAGATCCAAGACTCCTTCAACGGAAAAGGAAACCAGACCTCAGGCCTCAAAGAACTTTTACAAAGTTTTTTAAAAGGTGACCGAGGCAAAATAGAATGTCTTTGTTGGATTTCTGTTGCTGACTCAGCAAACTTGGAAAGAGACTCATTGTGGCTCCCAGCTGCGGAAGTCTCAATCTACGATTAGTTGTGTCTGTGGCTCTGGCTCTATGACTCTGGGTTGTGCAGTCACAGCAGGAAGGTTGACAACTAAGCTGCTTACATCATATCAGCATATTCAGGAAGGTGGGGGTGGGTGGGGAGAAACACCCAGGTCCCAGCTGAGGATATGTCTCCCGTGATGTAATTTCCTTCTGCCTCCTCTCAATAGTTGGGGAGGGGGTGGGGGGGGACACATCTCCAAACGGAGCAATATAACTTTCCCACACGTAGAAGGTGTTATGGTTTAGATAAAACAGTGCTGTTCACCGAGGGGCCGTGGCAGGCAGAGGGTGAGAGACCTCGTCGGATCGGTGAAGACTGCTGGTCCCAGGAGCCGCAGGTACAGGTGAGAGACTGATAGGCCATGCAGAGAGAGTTTGGATATAGTTTATACAATGGGTTATGGAAGGAAAGGAAAGGGGGGGAGAGAGAAGGGGGTGGGGAGGAGAAGAGGCAGCTGCCACCTCTTCCAAAGACAGATGGACCAGAGCAAGAGTGCAGACTGGAAGAAGGAAGATCAGTTTGATTCAGTAGAATGGGGGGATGGGGGAGTGGGCGGGGCTTGTCTCTTAAAGGGACAGGACAGACCATTACAGGAGAAAATAAAGTATGATGGGGGAGTGGGCGGGGCTTGTCTCTTAAAGGGACAGGACAGACCATTACAGGAGAAAATAAAGTATAGTTCATATGAAAGAAGGCAAACAAGGACAGGGAGGAATAAAGGGCAAAAGTCTTTAACTTATAGAAAACTCTAAAATATCAATATGTGCACAAACATAAGCAGCATTCACCATGAGTACACGTCTCTGCTCACCAGTGGAGACACACTGTCAGAGAGATTGCTAGGGAGTACTACTCTATCTGGATTTTATCTGAAATGTTAGGACACAGAAAATTTGAAAGTACTTGGCTAGACACAATTTTACAAAATACTTTTTTTTTTTTTTGTAAATGCTCATCCTTAAAGCAATAGTAATATCAGGAAAAATATGCAACTGACGAAAGGGATTTTACCAGAGTGTGAGATTGGTTCAAATTAAAAGCTGATTGATGGTGTTCGTTAAGTGCGTTAAAAGAGAAAGGCATGATTGTGATAATAAATGTTGGAGGCTCACGTTAAGGATTCTTTTTTCTCCTGTCTTTCATGTTTTATTTCATGTTCAATCATTCTGTTTCTGTTGAGATTTTTTTTCAACGTGACAAAAATAAAATATAAGGAGAAGCAAAAACTATCATACTGAAGTTGGGCACAACAACCCAACAGGAAGAGAAAGAGTCCCAAAAGCAGGCAAGAGTCGGAGACCCACTTGTTCTCAAACTCAAGGGTCCCATAAAAATAATGAGCTAATGTAGCTATAGTAGATGCACAGAAGACCCGGAGCAGACCTGTGTAGGTACTTGTGCATGCTAAGGATTCTTTTCCTTTTTGGCATGGGAGTCCTTTGTCTGCAGGGATGCCTGCAGGCCAGAAGAGGGCTTCTGATCCCACTGTAGATGGTTGTGAGCCACCATGTGGGCTGGGAATTGAACTCAGGTTCCCTGGAAGAGCAGCCAGTGCTCTTAACTGGCTCAGCCATCACTCCAGGCCCCATGTTAAGGTGGCCCAAAAATGTGAAACTATTTCCACCTTCTCTGAAGGTCAGAGAGCCTGAGGTTGCTCAAAGTTGTTGACAAGTATGGTAAGGCATCCTGACCCAGGATGTGATTACTTGGTTCTTTTGACATTAAGATGGCATATACAGGTAGATCCGCTCTATCCTGACAGGGAGATAGTCAGGATGTGCAAGCCTATATCTGCTCCTTCTTTTGTAATGGGAGGTTTGACCTAGGGAGTGGCTGCCTTCAGGATGTTTGGTCTAGGGTGGGTTCACTGCTTAAACAGCAGAATGCTAATGAATGAATTAATGGCTTGGTGGCTCAAAGTATTGAAACAATTATGTGTTAGAGTTGTCCTTGGTATCATGTTCAAGAAGTCTTTTATTGCCTTCTTCCCCCTTTTGTATTGGGGTATAACAACAAAAGTGTATGGAAAATTAACCAAGGATGATTTCAGTATTCACTGGAACTTCTTCCCAGTGCTAACCTGCATTTTCTGTTTTATTACTTTACTCACGCCTTTGTATTCTTTACTAATTTTTCTGATCCCCCATGCCCCTACCCTGGTAAGTGGTATTTTTGTTGAGGCTGGTCCCCGGCATAACTTGATAAAGGCAATTCCAAAAATGACCCATAGGAAATCTCACAATGAGAATCCATTAGGCATATATAACGTGGAGGAACAAGATTGCTTGCTGTCGCGGCATCTTTTAAAACATTGTGCTGGAATCATAGTCAAAGCAGCAAATTAGGTGAATGTAAATAGACTGTCACAACGTGGGCATGGCTCTCTATTAGCTAATCCAAAGGAGCTACAGGAAATCATTAAAATAATTGATGCTACTATGAAATGAACATATGAAACAAAACTGCATTAATGTGAAACCCTTAGGTATAAGATTTTAAAACAATTACAGTAATGAGCAGGGAGTGGTACCTGAGGAGTAAATGTAAACTTAGGTGTTTAAGTTTTTCTATGTCAAATACATTGAGCTTCATTTAGATTTAAAGACTTTATATGTGCGTGAGTGTTCTATATGCATATATGTCTGTGTCCCCACATGTCTGCCTGGTGCCCTTAGAGCCTAGAAGATGGCATCAGCTTGATTTGGTACTTAAATTCCAGATTGTTGTGAGCTTCCCTCTGGGCGCTGGGGACTCTGCAAGAGCAGCAGGTGCTCTTAAACCTCCGAGCCATCTCTCCAGTGCCTTCATTTAGGTTTTTAAAGGAAGAACTGAATATGCGTGCTTTTACGCCATGCTTGAACAAGTGAGTATCACGGGGGGGGGGGGATTCGCAGTCTCAACTTGATGTACGCAGCTGTAACTAGGCTTAGGTTGACACCATCATAAAGGAGTTCTAAAGATTCTGTGGAAGAACAAGCTGTCAAGTGCAGCCGTTGGGTTCACAGTGCCTTTGAAGAGAACTCCAAGCCAAATGTTATGAGAATGTTGGATTTTGAAAGGTACTTTTTAAACCATTCATTGAGTGAGCATAGATTGAATACTTACTATGTGCCACAGTGGTGACAATAATGGGTGCCTCTCCTGAGTTTTGCAAAGTACCAGCAGATAATCACATGGATAAACATTTTCAAGCCCTATGTTGTGCTTGGAAGGAAAAATGAAGTGGCATGAAAGAGAATGTTATCGGGATGAGGAGCTTTCCTGGGATCACTGGGACTCAGGGGACCATGAAGAGGAGGGCAAATGGAAGTGGAGGTAGGGGGAAGATAGTGTTGGCGGCGTAGGGAGGTGTGGAATGCTTCCTGTATGTCAAGGCACCCCCGTGGAGGCAGATGTGATTTCCTGTGATATGGCCATGGTGCTTGTGGAGTCTGGGAGTTCACCTAGGTTTCATGTTTCCACCGAGTGGCCTTCTCTCACTGACGGCTTCTGCAGAGAATGCCTTTTCTTACAGGTTTCTGAACTTCTCTTAGCCAAGTACATGACAGAAAGGTATAGTTTCTCACTCTCCTTGGACAAATGTTTGGAAACATGATGGGAGGAACCACAGAGGTGAGTGCACTAAAGGCAAGGGATTTGGAAATAGAGAGGTGGACCGGGCAGTGGTGGTGCACGTCTTTAATCCCAGCGCTTGGGAGGCAGAGGAAGGCAGATCTCTGTGAGCTTGAGGCCAGCCTGACCTACAAAGTGAGTTTCAGAACAGCTAGGATTGTTGCTCAGAGAAACCCTGTTGAACAAGAAAAAAGAAAAATAATAGAAAGATGAGGGTTGACAGGATTGCTCAGTAGATAAAGCTACTGACTGCACAAGACAAGTTCAATCCCCAGAACATACAAAAAGGTGGATGGAGGGAACTAAACTCATAGGGTTGTCCTCTTGATGCCATATGTACATTGTGGCATATACACATACATGTACGCATGTAACATGTACACAATAATTACAAAGAGATCTTCCTAGCCAGGCTGGAGGGGGTTTCGGGGGGAGAGGCTCTGGGAGAACCCAAGCAGTACTGAGTATGGAATCAGAACTGAGATCGCGACAGGCTTTCATGAGATGGAAACAGGAGGAGTTGCCTCGTGACTCTCTGTCTAAGGCTACGCCTAAACGAAGGGATGAGGCCTGTTGATTTGGAATCTGAGCCGCAGAATTCACCACGGAACGCTTCCCCTCATAGGGCTTGATTTGTGCTTTAGATTATTTATGCTCCCCACAGGGCACTGAATTCTCCCGTGTCTGGGGTAGGCACCACATGTTACCATTAACTTGGCTGCTTTCCCATGATGACAAAAGTGGAAAACTCTAGATTTGGAGTAAAAAAGGGTGGTCCCTCGGCCCGCCTTGGTCTGACCCCAGGAAAACACTTGATAATTACAACTTTATAGTTTAGTTAGCTTTAAACTATGAACTCCTATGTACTGAGAGTCACACTAAGCTGATCTCTGTTAGGAGTGTGTTCACATTTAGTGGACAGGAAACTCAATAACTAAGTTCGGGGATAGACTAGTGTTCCCCACATATCACTGTATTAAGCTCTCATGATTATGGCTGTGGTATGGAGAAGGGTCTTCACAGAGATAATGAAGGACTTCCTATCGGAGTCCAGTCCAAGCCCAGACCACAAATTATTTCTCTACCAGACCCCAACATAAACTCTCTCTGGACTGGTGTGGAGGCGCGAAAATAAAAACACAATTTACATGGTTTTATCAGGAGGGATTAGATTCTCAGAGATCCCTCATGATATCCATGATATCCTGAAGAATTTCTCCGTTTATTCTTCAAACGGCCTTTATACCAAAACTTAACGTAGGGGAAACACATTAGCATTCTGTCTCCTAGGTAACCAGGTCAATGGCTTTTTGTCCCCTTCTGCATCTACCTATCTGCTCTGTATGCTAGCTGTCACGTAGGCTTGAATTGAAAGGAGCAACAGCATCCTGACCCTTAGTTAGGGCAGTGATATCCTGTCTGCAGGGCTACGTGACCACCTCAGGTGGGGTCTGTGGCTTCAGAGCCTGGCTGCCACTACCACACCATAAAGAAATATGGGCCTACAACTTCCAGATGAAGTCTTCCTGGACATAGAAAGGGGAGGGAGATGGACACATGAAGACAAAACACAAGGTGGTCACATGAAGGCAAGGCAAGGATTACAGCTACCCAAGTACCAACCCCAAAACATCAGTGGTACCAGAGCTATCCCTACCCCCAAAGAAAGGTGTGGGACAGACTTTCTAGTGGAGACTGTAGGGGCAACTCCCCCAGCATCTCTCTTTAGACTTCTAAGAGACCCGGGGTTTCTTTAGTTTTAACTCATCCAGATTTATTTATTGCAGCAGTCACTTCAAACTAATATACTGTGCTACATCAACCAGGCAGTGATTGGAAAGCTGGGATTTATTTAGCATTTCTTACTCTACCCTCATAGTAATGATACAGTAGGGACACTTGGAATTTTTCTCCCCGGAAAAGTGAACAACTAAATTCTTTGACCCTAGGTCATCTTGAATGTCAGTTTTCTATGACTCCGGGGCGAATGTGAAGATGAGGCTTCTTTCAGTCTTTTACCAGAGCATGGCGGGTTTGATGGCAGTGGGCTGTGGGGGACCTTATGTGTAAGAAGAATTCTTGGCTGATGTTAATGAATAGCCCCATTTGATTTAGTGCAGTAGACAGGGAAGAGGTGCATTAGGAGAGAGAAAAGTAACAATAGCACTTGGACACAAAACACACTTGTCTAGGTATCAAGTAGAGAGGACATCAAAGAGCCCCACAATATTTAGAACACTCAAATAACGGTCGGTGGGTTGGGATTGCAGAAAACCAAAGTGAACTTTTGAGCAGTGTTTACAGATAGACAAGCTAAAAATGGGGATGGGACTGCTCTCTGCCACTTTGGGAGACCTATGGCAGTGAATGGAGAAGGCCAAAAAGCTCATTAGATATAAGATATCCATGGGGGAAAAGACATGGATGGGTGCCAAAGTGGGTTGAGGTCCATTAGATATACTGGGTCCACTTACCAAGTGAAAAAGAGGGGTATGGTCTGAGACTTAATATTAACTATAAACTGTTTGGCCTGTTAGCTCAGGCTTACTTAATATTAACTAGCTCTTACAACTTAAATTAACTCATTTTTTGGTGTAGGAGGTTCTTCTGTTCATGTGTTACTTTCATTGGTTAATGAATAAAGAAGCTGCTTTGGTCCTGATAGGGCAGAACTTAAGTAGGTGGAGAAGACAGAACTGAATGCTGGGAAGAAGGGCAGAGTGAGAGACGCCATGGATCTTCTGCCCGAGACGGATGCTGGTTAGAATCTTGTCGGTAAGCCATAGTCACATGGCGATATACAGATTAATAGAAATGGCTTAAGTTAAGATGTAAGAATTAGCCAATAAGAAACTAGAGCTAATGGGCCAAGCAGTGTTTTAATAAATTCAGTTTCTGTGTGATTATTTTGGGTGTAAGCTAGCCAGGCGTCCGGGACAAACAAGTGTTTATTAGTTTATATTTTTATTAGTTTATATTTTACCATGAGGCTTGTGGCTTGCTACCTCTCATCTTGCTTCTCTCTTCTCTAGTGACTGCTGGTGTCTCCCCAACTTTGCCCTTTTCCCCCTATATCTTTCCTTGGATTTACTGCATGGCTCTATTCTGCCAAATTAGCTTCTTTATTAGCCAATGGTAGTAAAACATATTCACAGCATACAGAGAAATATCCCACATCATTATTGTTGAACATGAGTAAGGAATGTCAGGAGACCATCTTATAGGGCTGTGGCAACAAGGCTCTTGTTGTAAAAATTTGAATTAACTGTGTAAATATGTGTTGTATTTGTTTCACCTTGCCTACCTAAGGCACCTGATTGGTCTTATAAAGATCAAGTAGCCAATAGCTAGGCAGTAGAGGGATAGGCAGAGAGAGTAAGTAAGAGGAGAAATCTAGGCATTAGAGAGGAAGAGGATGAAGGACAAAAAATTGGACACAGCCAGAACCTGAAGCCAGACAGCTGCCAGCCAGGCAGACATGAGAAGCAGTCAAAGGAAGATATACAGAAGGAAAGAAAGGTAAAAAGCCCCGAGGCAAAATGTAGATGAAGAGAAACAGATTAAGTTTTAACAGCTAACAAGAAACCAGCCTAAGCTAAGGCCAAGAGTACATAACTAATACCAAGTCTCCATGTCATGATTTGGGAGCTGGTTGATGGCCCTAAAAAAGTCTGCTACAGGTTCTAATCATCAGGTGAGTGGGTGGGGGGTGTCAGGGATTTTTGCATTTTCTATCAACTTGATGAGGCAGTGATTCTCAAGTCTGATATTTTGATACCTTCATTCTTCATCCCTTTCCTCTCTTCAGTCTCCGAGGGATGGTTTTGGCCAGATCTATTGGATGAATTATTCTATGTGTTGGAACCACTGAGGGTAGTTTGTACCCAGATGTAATGATTTGGATAGAAGTTGGAATAAAACATTTGCTGCGTAGGTCTGAGATCAGTATTTGAAGTGTTTAAACTCAAGTCCTCCATAGAAGAAGGAGACAGAAGATCAGAAATTGTAAAAGACCACAGGAAATGGGGCATCAGTGCATTAGCCCGTTTTGAGTTCCTGTACCAAAATACCTTCCTCTGAGTAATGTATGAAGAGGGTCATTTTGCTCACCATTCCAGGCATCTGAGAGCATGGTACTGGCATCTGCTGGGCTCTGGTGAGACCCTGGGGGGATGGGATTATGGCAGGAAAATGTGGGAGAAGGAGAAGTCACATGGCGAGTCTGGAAGCTAGAGGAACTGATTCACTTCTCAGAACTGGGATCTTGAGAGATTCTTTGGAGAAGGCTGTACATGCTGGGATGTAATTAAATATTTAGTGAATTAAATATTTACTGTAAAGTTTCTGACACCTTGTCACACTGAGGATGAAATTTCTAGTTCATGAGTATGTAGGGGACATGCTACAACTAATTCCAAGCAGTAGATACAAGCGGAGTGGTTGGAAGAGTAGTGGGGGTGGGGGCTGGGAGAAGAGACACAGGCTGTGGTGGGTGACAAATGCCTGGTATAGCCCCTGAGCAGCACCAGGGGCACTTGGGGACAGCCCACAGCAGCTCAGCTCTTGGGACAGTGGCAACAGGACTGTATATGTTTGCTGCACATTCACCTTGCCACTTTGGGCACCGTGTTGAGCGTTTCCTATGCCTCCAAGACTTAGTGGCAGCAACAGCAGTGTGGTAGGGCAGCTGGATCCTGCTTTAATTTTTTTTTCAAAGTTTATTAAATTATGAAAGTTTCCATTTCCGCCCCTCCTCCCAACACCCTCCCACTCCCCCTCCTCCTCCTCCCTCTCCATCCCTAAGAGCAGTCAGGGCTTCCAGCCCTGTGGGAAGTTCAAGTTCCTCCCCCCTCCCTCCAGGTCCAGAAAGGTGAGTATCCAAACAGACTGGATCCCAAAAATCCAGTATATACAGAGGAAACAAGTCCCAGTGTCATTGTCAATGGCTTTTCAGAAAGACTCTGGGCCAGCCACATTCAGAGAATCCGGCCACATTCAGA